GCCGTCCCCCAACACCAGCTCGCTTGATCTTGTCCTGGGTCCAGAATCCTTGCCGAGGTAGGCAAAGATAGCCGATCGCCTCTGCGGCGATCGTTCAAAGCCTTGCGGTCGAGCAAGGCCCTGACAGGCTCCAGGAAATGCCGCGAAGTCCCGAGGTGCCTGGCGGCCGCCCAGGCCGACTGTTCGACAAACTCCAGGCGGTTAATAACTAGCTTCCGAGGGGAGATCGGGTTCATCCTTCGATGGTCCCAAAGCTCCCCTTGCGCTGGGGGACCATTTGGATGGGTCGAAGAATCAGCTTCTACGACGGGGCGCAAAAACGTTTCAGGGATGGGTTTTGCACGTGGGCGAGGTCGTGGGAGATGCAGACGAGGAGGCGTCGTTGCATTTGCCGCATGTCAGAGCGCAAGCATCTCACCCGCAGGGCTGGCATCCCCCGGGCTGGGGGCCCGGGCTGCGCCCCGTCTTTCCATCGAGGGGGCATGCGTGGTTTCTGGGCGGGTATCGGAATCGCTCAATGTTGAGTGCCAAGCGCGCAGTTCATGATCACTCCGTCTTTGGCTGGAACAGCGCGCGCCGCGCAAGGACGAACCGTGGGCGATGTCATGGCGGACCTTGGAAGAGGGAGCGGCATGAATTGGATGTCGAGTTGCGTTGCCATTGCGCGCGTGTGAAGGCGGGGTGGCCTGTTGATTTCAGTCTTTTCGATGTGAGGGCTCGCGTCGAAGGCCGGTTGGTCGGCGCGAAGAATATGCTGGGGGTTCTTCGAGGAGAGCGCTGGGGGTGGGAAGGGTGGGGGGCAGAAGTCCTCGCCGAGGTAGGTGAGGATCCCCGATCGCCTTTGCGGCGATCCTTTTGCGGTGCGGTCGAGCAGGGCCCTGGGGGGCTCTGGGACAGGCCGAGAAGCCCGGAGGTGCCTGGCGGCCGCCCGGGCCGACAGCTCGACGATTTCCAGGCGGTTGACAACTAGCTTCGGGGGGCAGCTCGGGTAAATTCGTCGAAGGTCCCAGATCCCCCCTTGCGTTGGGGGGGCCATTTGGATGGGCCGAGGAACCAGCTCCTACACAGGCGCTCACCAACGTTTCATGGATGGGTCTTGCACGTGGGCGATGTCGTGGGAGATGCAGACGAGGACGCGTCGTTTTGTTTGCCAAAAGTCATAGCGCGACCTTCTTGCGCGCAGGGCTGCCCCCCCCCCCAGGCTGGCGGCCAGGGCCGCGCCCCATCTTTCCATCGAGGGGGCGTGGGTGGTTTCTGGGCGGGTATCGGAATCGCTCAGTGTTGAGGGTCCAGCGCGCAGTTCATGATCACTCCGTGTTCGGCTGTGACAGCGCGCGCCGCGCAAGGGCGAACCGCGGGCGACGTCGTGGCGGACCTTCTAAGAGGGCGCGTCGTGAGTTGGATGTCGAGGTCGTTGCCCTCGCGCGCGCGTGGACTCGGGGGGATCTATTGATTCCAATTGTTTCGATGTGATGCCTCTCGTCGAAGGCAGGTTGGGCGGCGCGGAGAATATGCTGCAGGTTCTTCGAGGAGAGCGCCGGGATTGGGGGGGTGGGGCAGGCGGGGCGGGCGCCGCGAGACGAGCGCGAACGGCGCTGGGGGAGGTTGCTGGGGGAGGCGATTTCGAAGTGTGACTTTCGCGGGGGGGGTGCCGCCATTTTGCGTGGGGCGCGCGACGGATATTCGCGGCGCCGATGAGAGATGGCGCGCGACGCGCGGCGCGCGGGCAACCGGGGTCGAGGTCGGCGCGCGGGCGTCGCGGGCAGGTGCGCGCGGGGGCGGCGGCGCGGGGGGGGCGCGCGGACGTGGCGCGCGCGAGGACAGGGCCCGGGAGAAGTCGCGACTTGGCGGCGCGACGTGGGAGGAGGGTTCGATGTTCGAAGAGACAGTGCGTGGCGGAATTCGGAAACTCGGCGGAATGGTCGGAGTGCCAGAAATTCGCCGAACGGAGCGGGGCACGACGGCGCAAGGCATGCGCGGAATAGAGGGGGAAATCAGCGCGGAGAGGGGCTGCGGAGGCCGTGGGCCGCGAGAGGACATCAGACGTGGAGGCGATGCCAATGGCGCGCGTCGCGCTAGGTCGCGGGGGAACTTGCGGGGGCGCGAAGCTCTTGGAGTCCGGGCAGGCGGGGGGGCGTCGGGCAGAGAGCCCCTTCGAAGTGGTCTGTGGAGAGGGCGACAGGTGGGGCGCAACCGCGATGGAAGTCGCCAGCGCGGCGAAGCGCATGAAGTGACAGTTGATGCGCGCGGCGCGCGGGACGTTCCCGCGGCAGGGTCGCACGAGCGACAGACAGGGCAGTTATCACTTCGAGAGGAGGGGTGGTGTTGCGTGCGCGGAGTGCAAAGCCCTCGGGTTCACGGCGCGGGATTGGCAGGCGCGCAGATGTCGGGGCCCGATGGGGGCGCCCCCGAAGTCCGCGTTTGCGGAAGGAGGGCGTTTCGCACGGGCAGTTCAGAGGAAAAGTGGGCAGTGCAAGTCTTGCACGCGGCGCCCGTTCGG